CATTCTTAAATTTTCATTCTTTTCTAAACAGCAAGATGCCAAACCATGGAGGTAATAATTGCATTGTATATATTACGATTGCGTTATATTTATATATATACATATATATAATAGAGATGAATACATTATTTCTCTTTCGGTTGTAGTTTTCCTGATGAATCGCACGACGAAATACAAAAATATTTATACAATAGAGAATTAGGATTAAATACGGCAAGGTTGATCTATTCTTAAAAACCTTCTGTTATCAAATTTATATTGTAAATCAATTGATAAACTTAAAGTGATTGTTTTATGATTTCATATAGGTTACCTCCAAATTGGTTTAGTATTGTGTCTCATCGAATGCCACATTTGTTTAAAGAAACTCAGATTGATTTGGGAAATCATGACAAGATTTTCTGTTCTCACTGGATATCACATAATGAAATTGTTGTAGGAACAAAATGCAATAAGGTTTGTCATGCATGACGCAAATAAACGTCTTTATTAATTTTTAATTTGTTAATGCTAATTGCATAATTTGTATAATATTTCACAAGCTTTTAATCCTCAATGTCGAAACAAATAAAAGGTTCGAAATTCCATTGGTCACAGGATGTACAAATAGCCAACCTTCGGATAATAATAATAATAATAGTAACTGTTCGGGAATTCGAAGTATTGCCGTGAATCCTTCGAGAACTTTACTGGCTATAGGCGCCGGAAACCCAATTCAAGTTATGATATATGAGTTACCTTCGTTTGAACCCGTCATCGTATTCTCGGTAAAAAAAACAATTTGTTCATAAATATTTTATACGTATTTATTCATTAGCATTGAAGACTTCTTATTTTTAGTTTTGAATTTTATTTTAGGGTCATAATGATTTGGTATTTTCCGTCGCTTGGCTGGATGATAGTCACGTTGTATCAGGTATTTCTTCTTTTATGTTTTGTGATGACAATACATCAATGGTTTAAATTTTCCAATTTATTTGATTTATTTGATTTATTATAGGTTCACGTGATGGTACAGTTCGTCTCTGGTCTATCGAATCGAAAATAATCTCTGAGATGCCTTTACTACCAAACAAATTTATCAATGTCCACCAACCGTTGCTCACTAGATCAGAATGTGGTGGCAAAGTTCGAGATTTACAGTTCAATTCAAAGACAAATGTATGAATAAATGTTTTTAATAATCTATTTTCTTAGGCATATTGTTGACTCTGATCTAAATTATTGATAATTCTTTTAGGAAATCATGACCCTTTCAACTGCAGGGTATGTTAGGTTATGGGACGCATCATATCTTAACCCAGTAACAAAAATCCCATTAATACATACAAATGAAAATGTATGTTTATCAATGAATTCCAAAGTGAATTTGTTTGCTGTTGGGTCTCAAGCACATATATCAGTTATAGATCCACGAACATCTTCCATAGTTCATGAGATTGATTCTGTAGATGAGGGTTGGGGTAATTATATTGCTATTATTTTTATAATTGTTATTTATTGTTATTCATGATTTCCTTAGTAGTCAAATATTAATTTTTAGGTGTTCGATCCTTAAACTTTAATGACCATATAATTACAACTGGAGGTGGTTACGGAAGGCTTTCATTTTATGATATGCGTGCACAAAACTATCTTCTATTCAATACATCCAATAATGAGTCTTCGGTAACATGTAACTATAAAGAAACAGGTTCTGGTTGGTTGGTACGTATTGATCTAATTTCAATAGTAAAGGAATTTATTATTTCTATTATAATCATTTATTAATGTATTATGACACTATTTGCATGAATAATTTTCTGAATTTGCACTGTAGAATGCTATTTATACACTTTCATATGATGAATCAGGTACAATACTGTTTACAGGTGGTGGTCCATTACAACTTGGACTAAAAGGCTCACATGCAACAATTTGGTCATAATATTTCATGATTCTCTTACTTTACCTATTTGTAATTTTGGATTGCCAATTTTGGATTTACTCTTTTTACACAAAAGAACAATTACTTCAATTTCTATTTATTTTCTCTCACATTCTATATAGATCATGATTAATTTCACTGTTATAGTTGTTTGTATGTTATTGATATATAATTATACATTCCATAATAATTTTGTGTAGTTTTATCTGTACCATTGGTCGTTCTCATAAACATTTTTACTTTAAAGTTTTATTTTATTTTTTTTTTTCTGCCTTTTTTTTTATATTGTTCAAAAGGGATCGATTTTAAAATAATTGGTGATTGGTAATGTAACTAATTTTTTTTTTAATAGTAAACACTTAATTCTCAAAATTCAATGTAACACCTGTTCATTGAAGTTGATTAGTAATTAAATATGTATTAGATTTAAATTTTAATTTGTAATATTATGTAGTTTATTATTATAAATGTCGGTATTTTTGATGCAAAGTTTAACTATCGATGTAAAGTTATCACCATATAGATTGTCCATTGAAAGGATCATAATTTATTCAGAAAATCAACTAGTTGTTCTTCGAGGGTGGACAGGTGAACTAGTTAGCTTTATAATTTGTTGGAGATTTTTAAAGCTTCAGGTTGGCTTATAATTTTATATTAATTTTGCTTTTGAAATATTGATTTGTTCTTAGTTTAATCAAAATAAATACTTATACGAATATTTACATTAAAATTTAGAGAAAAAAGGTTTCAATAAAGGATCCTCCTGCGGCGATTAATTATAACTATCGCAGTAGATGTGAAAAAGATCTTCCCTTGAATTCTTATTAAAAATAAAAAAAATTGTCGAACCTGCAATATATGCATAATCAAAACCAAGCAAGTTACAAACAATAAACAACCATTCAGTTACATAATCGAGATTCACAAGCTTAGTGATATTATATTACAAAATTTGATAAAGTTAAAAATTTTGTTAATAATAACAATTTGAAAATAAAGAAATAATATAGTGATAAGCAACCTGAACATAAATAAAATTAAAATGTTATATTTATATTTTCTTGCGATATTAATATTTATAAGCTAGAGAGTGATTCTAAAAAACAAGCTAGCCAAATTATTGAAACTATATCTAATATAGATAAATATAAATAGATATAAGTTTTGATATTTTATATAATTGATTTTTTTTAAAATTACTTTCTTTTTAAGTACTTTTTTTTTCTTTTAAATATATTTAAAAAATTTATTATATACCGTATAATTCCGAAAATAAGCACCCTCGAAAATAAGCACCCTGGCCCGCACTAAACCAATTTTGGCCTGCATTATGATGATCTTGGCCAGCATTAGATGCAAAAAAAGGGTGTTTAATTTCGGAAGTTTACGGTATTAATATTTTAATTTTTACTTCAGCAATCCTATCTTTATTTTATAATCAGAAGCAAATTACAAATATGTTTTTAGCTAGCTAAACCTATATACAAATTCATTCACTATTATATTCTTGTTTAAATAAAGATTTTTTTGATCTGTCTCATTATTACAGTAAAATTAAAGCAAGCTCTAATTTTACACTAAAGTATGATCTAGAAGCAATCTGCCTAAGTAAATATTTTTCTTCTTCTAGTATTTGCAACTTTCTGAGGATATAAGCCCCAAATATCAACAGATGATTTTTACCAATCTTGTCAAAATCACTGCTCTACAATAGAATACTATCAATCTGATGACATTTTTTATAGAGAAGTAAAAAAAAAAAAAGAATATAGGTAAAATAAAAATAGGGTAATAGAAAAACAAATACCGGTATAAAAGAAAATAACCAAATTACAAAAAAATTAAAAAAACTATTCTAAAATCTAAAAAAACTTGTTTATAGATATAAAAACCTGCTAATTAGATAAAAAACTATCTATATGATCATAGAAAATCTATATATAAAGCTATTTGACAAAATAAACTATAAAATAAAATACACTTTAACTTGTATCAAGAGTTAAAAATTAGGTTTTATTTATATATCGCACCAGTGCGATACTCTTATTTATCACCTAACCAATCAAATTTCAGGATCAGGTCTAATATAAAAAATACAAAAAATTGTAATTTTTTGAAAAATCACCAATACCTCAAAATTTTGTATAGGAAGCAGCCTTTTGTGTTCTAACAAAAAAAATTCTTTGCAAAATTTTGATATAAACTATACCTTATTCTAACCCAAAACTGAACTTACCCTAACTTTAATTAAAACAAAGTAAACTATTTTATTTTTTTATTGTTTTGATCTTACATTACACTTGTTCTTATAAAATGTGATATATAATTGTGTCACATGATGTGATATATATATTTTTTTTAAAAATTATATACATATGATTTCAGAATATTGTATATTTCTAATATATTGCTCTAGTTTACAACTCTTATTTACTTCTATCTCGAATTCTAGAATACTAATTTTAAAGTCTCAGTATATAATCGTTAATTCTAAAATAACCCTTCTTGAACTTGCTTCTATACTATATAAGATTAAACAGATAGTTTTTTTCAATCACTACTAGTAATACAAATTGACAAAAATTTTTTAATCAATTAGTTGATAGATTATTTTATTCAACTAATTGATTATTTAATTTTTTTCAACTAATCGATTAGTTAATTAATTAATTAATCAATTAGTTGATTGTATATATTTCACCAAAATAGGTTTTTAAAAAAACCCTATTTTATCTCTATTAGAGCAATTTGGAATTTTTTATATATAAAAGCAAATCTAATTTTAATAATTATATTTTTTATAATTTTGTTTTTTTAAAAAAAATATCAAAAAATTTTGTCTTTTAAATAAAATAGATCAAAAAACAATTT